TGACCTTAAAATTTTTGAATTGTGACCAAATTGTATAGATCTGTGACCGTTATATATTTATTAATAAAATATATAATTAATTAAGTAATTCATAAATAAATTTAAATAAAAACCTGATTTTTGAAATTTAAAACATCAAACCTTAATTTTGAAATGTATATAAGTAAAAGCATGATTTATGTATACTTCCCATCTTTCTATTGCTTATGTGGCCCAATACAAGTTTAACCATTTATCGAGAAATAGAAAAGAAAGATAAGTTGGTTTAACTGTTGATCAAAGGAAGGGAAGGGAAAGGCATGGAAGGGAAGATTTTGATTTTAGACGAAAGAGCATAACCTGTAGCCTTATGATCATCTACAAAAATAAGATTTAATTAGTGAATGTGGCAAATTCAATGAGGGGACAAATGTTTTCACCCAACTTTAGCCTATATTTGACTTGTATTTTATAAATTGTTTATAAACACTCAAATCATATTTTTATCCCCACAACTTCGAAGAACTCACATATATTATCCACAATTTATTTATAATTTAAATCGTTTTATTTACATTTCCCAAACATGATCAAAGTTGAAATCATATAGAAACAAGTTAAGAAAATGAAATTTGTTTGGAGTCTATTTTTTTAATCTTCTAAAAAGTGTAAAGCGTAATTAAGTATGGATACCAAACTTCAAACTTTACAAGCCTAGGTAAGGCTACTCGTAAAAAATGTTACTTATTTTTATTTTAAACACGTTAACATTCTAAAAAAGTAATAATAATAAAAATAATATATACCAAATATCTAAAATTGTAAAATATTATGCCCCTATTTGGAACCCATTTATTTCTCATTTTTAGAATTTGTTAGATCGTTGCCAATCCACTGGCTTACATTCTGACACGAAAATTACAACAAGCTACAGGAAGAGATTGTTGTATTTCCCCTTTTTTACCCCCAACTGATTAACAGTCAAACAATCAATGGTAAAATTCACTTTTCATCACGAGCTCCTTTCTCATCCCACCGCTGTGACCATTCAATTTTCCCGATTTGAAATTCCTACAATCCGCCACCGACGACACCATTTTTTCAGAGCCCAACTCAGCAACAATCTTCAAATCACTTGGGTGTTTCTTCTACAGCTCCTGATCTCTCTCCAGCAGTCAGGTACCGACTATAAAAATAAACTTCACTAGGCACTAGTTGCTAGCAATCGGAGAAGAGCCCGATCGACTCAGTCCCCATCGTTCCTACTTTCCAGGTGCCCTTGATCTGCGATTAACTATTGTTCATGGATCCATATTTCTCTCAAGTCAGTTTGCGCTACTCTTTCAATTTCGATTTCAGTTCTTGATCCTCTACTTCGTGCAGTAAACGTCTTCCTTCCCTCTTCTCTATACTACGTTGTGGTCTTTGATGCATTTTCCTTACATAATTCACTCACGTAGGTTGGTTACCACCCACAAGGCAGCTCGTGTGCACCATTAGAAGTGAAGAACAACGAAGGTTGACGTAAAAATGCTAGATGGAGTTCAGCCATCGTGAAGGTGTTCATCGCGGCCTGCGAAATAGCCATCGCAGAGGGTCACCGACAGACCAGGTGCTTCACCAAACACGGGTGGGAGCACGTGATGTTCTTGTTCAATACCATGTCCGGCTGCAATGAAGTAAGCAGCAGTTGAGAAACAAATAAAATTCCATGAGGCGGGACCATCAACGTTTGAGGGAGTTGCTTAATTGCACCAAGGTTGAGTTTAACAAAACAACCGGACACGTTTGCGCTGAGGAGTAATGGTGGTGCCGAAAAATCAAGGTTGTTCTTTCTACTTATGTTTCTTTCACTATGCGCGCGGTGATTCGCGATTCAATTGCTTAGATTTTCTTTCTTGATGCTTCTACTTAAATTCCCAACTTGTTTAAACTGATTTATGTTTACTGCCATTGAATTGTGTATGCATTTGTTTGCCAGTTGAAATTGAATTAGGCATAAAACGGTTCTTGTACAAATTGGATTTCCAGGTTATATGTTTTACTTACACTTTATGTACACAAGTTAGGTTTACTCCAATGTTCAACATGCATATTTCGATTTATGTTGGTGAAAAACCCATCCATAACATATGTTACTGCTAGTTTATAATGGACAACTGAGATGGTGCATCTAGCCAACGGCCACGGGAAATCACTTTCATGCACTGACCATTCCGTATTTTCTATAGAGAATTGAATGCCATGTAAGCGTAGCATTCAAGTAAGAGATTTTTGTTGGACGATATGTACTGAAATTGAATGTTTTCGCACTGTAAGCTATGTAATGTGTTTTAATGCTAAATAGTGTCCATTACAAACTACTTTTTTCTACAATGTTGATGTAAGAAAACAGCAACCACAAGGATTAGAAGGACAAAGACGTCAGCGACATATATCTCCATTATTAACTGCTCTTTGGAGACACCTTTGATAGTGAAAAATACACTGTAACACTTACCAAGCTGAGCAGGGTTCAACTTGTTTGAAGACAGTGGTATGTAGGACTTTGTGACGTCGTTCCTGTAGATGATAAGAGTAGTGGCTCAAATGACGAGGCACTGACTGGTAAAGGTAAATCGAGCATGGATGTTTCAGGCGCTTGCAACAAGGATAAACATAAGTCTGCGTTCAGCAAGCAAAAGGGAAGAAAAATAAATTGTCCAGTCGCAAATTTTCCTTCCATGTTGACCACGTCAATAGTGTCATTGAGGAAGTATCAGCAAAGATCAACAACATCATACGGGCAGCTCGGAGTGACACAAAGGCATACGTCGAATAACTAA